GAGATAGTAGTAGCAGCAGCAGCAGTAGTAGTAACATTACCATAACCATCAGCTGTTGCAGTTGTGGGACCTCTATCAACGCTAGTGGCTGTACCAGTACCGTCTACACCAGTAGATATTAAATTCCCACCTGCCGTAGTAGTAGTGACAGCACCTGCATCAGTAGTAGCTGTAACACTGCCATCGACAGCAGCTGTTGCAGTTGTAAGACCTCCACCAAGGTTAGTGGCTACATCAGCACCAGTTGATACTATATTTCCACCAGCCGTAGTAGCAGTGATACCATTCTCATCGGCAGTAGTTGTAACACCAAAAGCATTACTAGTAGTATAAGTCAGACCAGCAGCATCTGTAGAGGTTCTACGACCACCAGCAGCAGTAGTAGTTGTAATAGCAACAACATCAGTAGTAGCTTTATTAGCAACTGCAGTAGTAACTGTGGTATCAGCAGCACCAATAGTCAGAGTAACATTACCATCAACAGCAGCCGTAGCAGTAGTGACACCATCTGCATCGGTAGTAGCTGTAGCACCAACATCAACTGTAGCAGTTGTGAGAGCTCCATCAACGCTAGTGGTGGCACCAATGCCGGCTACACCAGTAGTTGTAGATATTAAATTGCCACCAGCCGTAGTAGCGGTGACACCACCCGCATCAGTAGTTGTTGTAGAACAAGTAACAGCAGTAGCAGTTGTAAGACCAACAGTAGCAGAGGTAATTGTAGCAGTAGCAGTAGTTGTAGCAGTAGTTGTAGCAGTAGTTGTAGCAGCAGCAGTAGTAGCAGCGACACCACCAGTATCTGTAGTAGTTCTATCATCAGCAACATCAGTAGCAGTTGTAAGACCAGCAGTAGCAGAGGTAGTTGTAGCAGGAGCAGTAGTTGTAGCAGTAGTTGTAGCAGCAGCAGTAGTAGCAGCGACACCACCAGTATCTGTAGTAGATCCATCATCAGCAACATCAGTAGCAGTTGTAAGACCAACAGTAGCAGAGGTAGTTGTAGCAGGAGCAGTAGTTGTAGCAGTAGTTG